ATATTCAGTTGTTCTAACACTATTTATTGAAAATACTAGTTTTTATCTATTGACCAGCTTTTGCATATTTGTTGGAAATCTGATGTTTATATATGTGTGGGTTTAATTCCAGATACTCAATTTTGCTCCTTTGTCTGTCATTATGGCAATATCACAGTCTTGATTAATATAACTTTATGATAAATTTTGAAATTGTATTCCGTTATTTCTCTTTTTTTTTATCAAAATGTTTTGGCTAATCTATATACCTCGTATTTCTATATAGCATTTAGAATCAGCTTGTCAATGCCTACACAGGAGAAAAAAAGCCCCCAGGGGTTTTCTTAGTATTGAACTGAATCTATAATGGCATGAGAGAGAATTGATTAATACTTTAATATCATATTGAGTCAATCAACTAATAATTGTGATATATCACTCTATTTAGGTCTTCTTTAATTTCTCTCAGTAATATAGTTTTCAGCATAGAAGCCTTATAAATCTTTTGTTAGATTTATCACTTTTTCATCTTCTTGGTGTTTTTAAAATATTTTTATTTTAATTTTGTCAATTTTGTGCTATTTGCTGAAATACAATTGACTTTTCTACATTGTTCTTGTATCCTACAACTTTGATAAGATGACTACCTTGTTTGTTTTAATAGCATTTTTGTGGATTCCATTGGATTACCCAGATAATCTTGTCTTCTGGAATAACAGTCTGATTTACGAGTGTAAGAGAATATGTTCCACCGTAGGTTCTTAGATGTCAGTAATTATCTCAAAGGATGTTGTGGCAGTATAAAAATATTTTTTTCTTTCTTCCTTTTTAAATTTAATCTCTTTTCTGGGCAGGGGAGTTTAGAACCACATCTTGACTGACACTTAGTGCAATAGTAATTATGAACATATTGCATATTCTGGCCTTAAAGGACTTTTAATGTACATTCTCTATTTGATTACCCACGATCAAAGCCAGATTATTAAGGGTAAGGTCACTTTTAGGTGATGCTCATGAATGCCATGATTTGCCCTAAGTTGCATAGCTTATAACCACTACCACCACAGCTGCCATTTATGATGCACTTTATGAGTGCTAAGTAGAATACTCAGCACTAGGTACATAATCTCATTTAATCTTTCCCAAAAATGTATAAGGAACATGCTATAACCTTTCCAATCCTAGAGATGGACACACTAAAACTTAGGGGACATGCTACCTTACCCAAGCTTACACAGGTAGTAAGTGCCATGGCTGAGTCTTGAACCTAGGCTTGCCTGACTCCCAGTCTATACTTATAATCATTAGTTTACTCTTCATGGCTGTGAGGCAGGCTTCTGAGTCCCTTGCTGCATTTAAACTCCTCTTTTCCATGACCTCACTTGATTTCCACAGTGGCAATTTATCTCTAATTTAAAATAACAAAATAATGTATACTTTGGGGAATGTTAGTCCTTGTCCTATTGCTAATGAAAGGTAAAGACTTTTGGTGGTGATGTTTTTTTGGTGACAATTATCCTGAGAACAAGATTATTATTTAAAGATAGAAGATACTTTCTGATGGTAATTCATAATTTATTTGATTTATATTATTATCAATTATTTTATGAGTATTCATTTCTCATTTCTTCCTATCTAAAATTTCACCCCTCACCCATTCTCTAACATCTAACATTTCAGATAATCTTCCCTTCCTTATTTTTTCTCTTTAACACTTCTCACTAATATATTAACAAATTGTACATATTTATTGTCCCTTTCTCTCTTCAAAATATAAATTTCATAAATTCTGTTTACCAGTGTATACAGAGCACCTACTTGGCCTCAATAAATATGGGTTAAATAAATTAACATTTATGGTTAGACAATGTTCTTAAGATTTATGTTATTTTGATGATTGTTGTGTAGTGAAGTGGGGAGGTATATCTGAATCTAAGCATTTGGAAGCATTAAGATCTACTTGTATATAGTTTCATTGCTATTGGATGTATATTATCTGCCATAAAATGCTGTAGCCTAGAAGAGGAAGATAAGGTCATGGATGAATCAACTATCTCAAAACTGGAGGAAGATTATATTTGCACATTAGCTTCTTTCTGTCTCCTGATACCAACAATTGTTAGGCTTGTTATGTGATAGATGGATGAACCCTAATGAGGAAGTAGTAGTGTAGTATCTAACAGTATAGATTATGGTCTCAAGAGTGCTGAGTTCACTTACTAGTTACTATAAACATTAGATGTCACTATTATTATATGTCAAGGATTTTTATCCTGGGACCTCAAGGGATTTTCCAACTCAACAAAATAACACTCAAGTCTACTCTGTTGAAGAGGTTGGAAGCATTTTTCTTAGAAAGTTTATAGCATTTATCAAATTTTCAGATATCTTAGAGTACCTATGCTTATTTCAGCACCAAAGATCAAGTGATACTGTTATAAATAAATACTTGCAATGTATTCCTTTGGTTTGGCTTAAATTCCCTTAAAGCCAGCCAGAATCTTAATATTTTGCAAGCCCTAAATAATTATTTTTTTACTTACACTGGAAGCTATATAGACAACAACTACAAAATCACAATAACTTCACTACTATTACAATCACCTTTTCACACTTCAAGTGAGGTTAACTCACTTGCATATAACATGATAGACAAAAAATCCCTCATACACTAATTTATATGAGACATTTTCACTTTTTTGGTCAATAATACCTATGCATCTCTCTCATAGGCATGTAGTTCTTTAAGTCTAAAGAAGCATCATTCCTTATTAATCTCTGTAGCCACAGTACCTGGAAAGGGGGTAAAGCACATACCACTTGCTCAGTACACATTTGTTGTGTAATGATTAAGCTGGATATTAGATTCATGTCTTCTGCTTGTAAATCTTCAACATATTCTTATTTCATTAAGTTATAAAATTAATCTAAAGATAGAAGAAGGGGTCTCAATCTTTTGGTGATGTACTGCTCTACCATTTTCTCTTACTCAATATCTTCCTGAGCTATAGTACAAACTGTTAAACAAGCACATTCATGTCACAGAGAATAAAGTAAAGCATGAATTAAGAGTCTAATAAAAAGCAAAATACATATCTGTTTCTATTGAAAGCATATGGAAACTAAAGACAATGATATGTTCTAAAACATTCAGTATCATTTTTGAAAAGTCATCATAAGAACTATATTTCTTAATAGTCCTAAATAACTAATCACAGCAAAGCTCCTGTGTTATTTTCTAGGGATCTGATCATTTTTATGACCACTAAGTAAATTTCATCTGCCCCCTGGTATCTGCAGCACCTACCATATCCTAATACCTTCCTTTTTTATACCTCTGTTGCATTTCCTGATCAGATCTTCCTTGTTTATCATATTTTCCCACTAAATTCTTTCCTAATCCATCTTCCAATCAGTTAGATGAAGAGTATTCCTTCAATCTGGGAGCTATGTGATGAAAATAAGGGGAGTTCACTGGTAGAGAATCAAGCTTAATAGATAGAGAAAAAAAGAGGTGAATAAAAGTTTTAGGAAAGAAAGAAGGTGGGCAATGGGATCCTAGATAGTATAACTATTGTTATGTTAATTTTTAATCTTATGTAATCTCAGCATAACACCCAAAGAGTACTGGTTACTGAATGAGTAAATACTCTCTCATCATTACATCTAAGAGTAATTATATGGATTTTCTTTTTCCTTCTTTTTTTTTTTTTTCATTATCATTTTTTATTTCCTTCACTTTAAGAACTACACCAAACAAAACTTTGGGGTCCCTAATGTCCTCAAAGGTTTTACAAAGATTTACCCTGGGCCTGATGACAAGAAGACATTCCTAAGTATGGTGTTGAGTTTGTTTTGGCAAATTCCATGAGACTATAACTATTTGAGATATGGAAATAATAAAATTCCATTAAATACTTATCTCAGACATCTGGCTATAATAAGATTTTCTAGGCAAAAGAATAATATAACAAAGCCATTCTAAGGCTTTTAAAAATAGTTTAGATTATCCAAGATCCATTAAATTCTACATTATAGAAATTCAAGGTAATTCATTCTCAAATTTTAAGATTTTTTTACTTCATATCATATCATCATATTTATATTATGTTAGTGAAAACAAACTTTGCTTTCTAAATGAGAAATTAAAACATAAAACTGTTGAACTTCATAGATCAATATATCCAAACTCTAATAATTTTATTGTACAAACAATTTGTACAAAACAATAGAGTATTTCAAATATTTTACATTTAATTCTAGGAAGGAAAATAACAGCAGTATTATTAACTTAATTCATTTAAAATAATAATATACGTTGTTTGAAGAAAAAACAGTTTGTCAATGTATATCTATTTCTAAGCATGAAGGCACATTTATATGTCCATATTTTAAATTTTTAAATATAACAAAATGCTTAAAGTTATTTGTATATCTCCTAGTAACACATTTACAGGGACTTACTCCTCAATTTTCATTTACTTGGAAGGTCATTATGTAAATCACTATTGTATTTGCTTTATTTAAACTAATTTATCAAATAATAATGCCTATGGTTGTGAAAATAGTCATCCTATTTGTAGAATTACCCAGAATTCCTTTTACCACATGTAATTCTTAATATTGTTTAAGAATAATTTAATGTAGCACTTGCAAATTCAGATTATATAAACAATTCCAAGTTTCAGTTCAAAAGCACAAAGTGATTTTGTGGAGTAAGTAGCACTCTATTAAAAAAATACAAAGCCCTCTTATTTCATCAATTGAAAGCCCTAATGTTTTTTTTACCATGAATTAAAGAATTATTTTTAAAAACTTAAAAATACCTATATCTCATTTAACAGTAAATATTGCATGCAATAGGACTCTAGAAAGTATTTTAAATATGTATTAAAATGACCAACTGATCAGCAATTTGCATCACTTAGCAAAAAGATTTGACAGTAAATTACCGGGTCTGATATGTGCATGCTATAGTATAGTATATTCAGCATCAAAATAATAAAGTAAAATGCAATTACCCTAAAAGACATTTCAAGATTCTCTCCACCCCAGATATCCATTCCTGCATCGTAAGTTCCTATCTCTTCAAAGTAGTTTCTGTCAATAGAAAATAGGCCACCAGCCATAGTAGGGGTCCTAGTTGAAAAAAAAAACAAAAGAAAAGAATATCTTTTGAAAACAATGTGTGGAATTTAATGAGACTGTAGCAAATATTTTTTAGACATTTTAAATATAAAAAATAGTACTCAAAAATCTCAAACTGGAAACATAAAGTCAAGGTGTAAGAGGTTTTATAATTAACAAATAGCATTTTATCTCACATTTTCTGTAAAACTTGCTTTAGATTAATCTATATTTTTCTTATAGATGATCAAATAGATACATGGAAGGAACACTGGCCATTTAAGACTGGGGCTTCTAGCTTCCTTCTGAAAGGCATAGTGAAGAGAGATTTTTGCCTTTTGCATTGTCCTTAAAGAGATTAACTGGTTATGAAACTACCAGTTGTGTTTATCAATTATAAATCATCTTAATGTAAAGTCTAGAAACCTGTGGACATGGTTTCTCTATAAAAAGACCCACAGTCTATTTAAATATGAAAATAATTAAATGCTATAAAATTTTTACAGGAAATAAATATATTGTTAGAGTTACAAAAGTATTTTTTAACATAAGAGCTTTACATCTAATTGTTTATTCTTCTGTCTACTTAATTAAAAGGTTATAATTAACCATCTAACCTGATGGATTAACATAAACCACATATGCTATTCAGAGGTTTAAAAGGACATTTGGCAGAGATTCTAAAACTTTTTCCTAGGAATAAATGCCTTTTGTTTCTCACATTCGAGATTTTCTCTATAGAAACTAAGAAGTCAGATGTTAAGTTTTTGAAGAATTAATTAATTTAAAAAGATTAATTAAAGACAATGCTTAATGGCTGAGCTCCACAAGTCTTTCTAAATAGGCAGAATGAATTAGAGATAAAAAAAAGAAAACTATAGTTGCCACGAATAGATCCATACTGGCAATGATGGTTTTTGAATGTTTCTTGTAATGCAGTGGTTTCCAGTCTACATAGCACATTAATAGCACTGAGGTACCTTTCAAAAAAGATGTTCATGCTTGCGTATCACCCTCCACAGATTCAGAATTAATTGGCCTGGAGTGGGACCTGACTTTGGTATCAGCTGAAGTTCCCAGGTGATTCTAATGTACTGCTCTAATGTACTGCTCTAATGCACTGCTCAAAGATGAAAAACACTGATCTAGTAACTTAGGTTTGGAATGCTCATCCAAGTAGTCTGTGAGATTGTTAATAAAAATCAAATGTTTTGCTTCTCTCAAAATTATATCCTCCTCTGCCAAAGGTTATGTTCACATTTTAATTAAACAGAATCGGTCACTGAAAAATCACCAAATAATATTGTACTTGGACATCTACCATATTGCAAAGTCCTCTATTTCTCCCAGTGCTCTCACTGTTTTGTGCTCAGGTAATTAACTGTCCATCAGTTAGAGTAGCAGAGGCTTGCTTAGTCTCAGAGCTGTTTTATTACTTCTCATCTTGCTAGGTTCCTATCATGAACAGTATCATTGACCTTCTGAGTTATAATGAGAAACACTAACAAAGCTAAACAGATGGTAATTATGAAGTAGCCATGACCCTCACCTGATGAGGTTTTTGGAATTCTATGGCAATAACTATATAAGGCATTACAGTGCTGGAGAGTCTATTTAATAAGATTAGGAACTAAAATTGCTGCAATTATCCTATGATAATGCAACCAAATGCTTAAGAATGTTAAGTGATGCATTTTTTAATGATCAGTTCAGAGTGTCTACCTACTTATCTACTTACTGATAAAGTATTAACACATTTTAATTTAAATACACATATTTTATCTTATAGTTGGTCATTATTCCTATAAATATGTAAGAAATGTGTGTTAAATAGCTACAAATAAACTATATTTAACCATAAGAATGATTCAAATAGCTTTTACTTATGCTTATCAAGTAACAAAAATAATAAAATAAAATCACAACTTCTCAAAAAATGCTGTATTTTCTAAAGATGGATGCTCCTAGACAGATTCTTTTTATGTTTACAATGCCAGTTAGTTTTCTCAGTCTAGAGACTGTGCCTTATAATATTTAATGTCTATAGCCATAGCCAATGTTATGCACATGTTCTGTTCCAAGTTAACTGCCCTGTAATAAGCCTAATGAACTATTTACATATGCCTGTGTTCATGTTAAGTGTTCAGAATGTCTAGAAAATGCAAAACATAGATTATAGTTGAATTAGCTGAAATTATTTGCTTTTCAAGGTTGTGTCTATACAATGTCAAATTCAATTCAATCAATTTGGATGGGGGAGGGAACAATCAGTTCAATGTCTATGAACACTACCCATCACATAGTAAGTAGGTAAAGTAAAGCACTTGTCATAGTTCCCAACACATAATAATAAAGTTAGATAATTTATCTTTTTTGTTATTTATGTTAATCATGCAAACAAAATCCTTATGTGTCCTTCACTTAATTTTGGTTCTCATATACATAGCCTTCTTTTGGTTTTCAAAATCATTTGGAACTACTTCATATCTAAGATGTTGACTCTGAAATCTGCCTTGGAACACAACTTCCTATTCTTTAACCCTTCCTATTTTCATAGGAAGTCACTTTTTAACCTTCATTGGTGATTACAGTTCCTTTGTTAATCCATATTCTCACATTAATCATCCCCTTCAGGAATTTTTTTTTTTTCCTCTTCCCAGCTCCTCTCTAAGCTTCTGCCATGTCAATAAAAAACCAGTTAGCATCCTTGGTTCTCTGTCCTTGCTTTCTGCAATTCCCAATTCTCTTTTTGTAAATCTCAGTGCCTGGATGAAATTATCCTTCACTTCATTCACTTTTACTACTAAGACCCAGAAAACCATAGGTAAAGTAATGAGATGAGCCCAGTTGGTTATACAAGTCCATGTTATTGATTCTCTGTTTAGTTCACAAACTGCTAACAATTCTCTTATCTATGTTTATTTATTTGCCTGTCTTACTTTTAACTAGTTCTTTCCCAAAAGTTTTGGACCCTTTGAAAGAAGCCGGGGATTAAGGCAATGCATGCAATCTAAACTCGCTCAATCATGAAATCTAAACTATTTCGAACCATAGCTCAAACTTAGGTATCTTTCTCATGACCTCCTCCTTCCTCTTGTCTCCCAGGAAAGAATATCTCCTTTCCTCTCACTTTTGCTAGCATTTATGCTTGTGCCCTCAGCAGGCTCTCTCCTGACTATTCTTTAAGATACTTGCTCATTGACCATAACATTTATGTTTTATGGCTTTGATTTCTAGATTTTCCTCTTGAGCTTACAAACCTGCTCAATTAAGTTCTAGTCTACACCTAAATACATTTTCACTCCATCTTACTACTCTTTCAAACGAGGGACATATATTTTCTACTCCCCTCACTGGTAACCTTACTGAGCAGATACTTTTTACGTACTCCCTCAGCTCTTTTTGACCTTTTAACTAGAAGCTAGATCCTACTCCCACATCTATAATAATTTCTTTCTGAAAGGTCTCTATTGATTCTAAACTCCAATAGTCTTTCCTTAACTTCTTCATCTGAAAGCACATAACACAATGTGTCAGCCTTCCTGCTTGAAATTCTTTTCACCTCTAGTTCCCCTGCATTGTCCTACAGAGGTTTTTCCTTCTATTAATTTGACTGTTCATTTTATGATTCTTACCGATACCCCTTCCTCTTTCTTTCCCTTGCTAGGGGCTATCAGACCTTGGTCAATCTCCTAGTTTTACATGTCTCACATAAGTACAATATATCACTATAATATTATTTTGTGGATACATGCATTTTATAACTTCTTCTCTTGTCAAAAATGTAATCCTCTCCAGGGTTTCTCAGGGGTGCTTTTCTTTTTCTATGCTCTTTATCTGGGTAATATCATTCATCACATGTCTGTAACTGTCACTTCTATGAGGTTGACTCCTAAACTGTGTTTTCTTACTTCTTCTGTGTCAGTTGTGCTTTTGTAATTACTCACTATATTTTTACTCAAAATATCCTCTGACTCTGCTCAGTATGTGTAACACAGAAATTAGAATTTTCTACCCATCTGCTTCACTTTCAGTGTCTTCTATTTCTTTCCAGTCTCTTAATATAAAATGACAAAACCACCTTTCAGCTCCTATTTTGTACTTTACTCAATCATTTCCCAAATACTTTCCACATTTTTTTCTGAAGTATTTTTGACTCTTATCTATGTTATGATAGTCACTTTCCAATATTATTCCTCTATGTCTAACCATTTGCTAATGGATCCTGCTAGCATCTATGGGAATCTGGATGCCTCTAGATTCTTTTGCTTCCAAAATTTACTTTGCAAATTATAGCCAGATTAATTTCTCTAAGTCAATCTCCTCTAAAAATGTTAACCAGATGTTCAAAAATCTATGTTAAGGAATAAATTCTGGCTTCTTATCCTGCCATCAGTGACCTGGCACCGCCCAATGAGCTCCTCTCATCTCCTTTTAATTATTTCCCCGTATGTGAAGTGTTTAGCTGTTACTAGTAAATGCTTTTCATTTTTGCACTTTGGAACATTTGCTCATATCCAGTATTTACCTTAATTTTCCTTCATAAATTTCCCTTATATGTTCAAACATGCTTTACCTTAGGCCAATACAAATGTTCATATTCCATATAGACTGGCTTCAATACAATCACTCGTGCTTGCCCCCCAATCTGGATATATTCTTCCTCTTCTACCTTATTTTGTAGCCCCCTTTTCTCTGTCTTTCTTAAGGCATTTGCCACTTCTTATTGTATATAGTGTTATATTTATTTCTGTAAACATTTTATCACTTCTATAAGAATAGAAAACATATTGGTTTAATAGTATTAGTCTACTAATAGATATTTCTTGAATAAATAACGTAAAAAAATGAGCAATGTATTTCCATGGCCACAGAACAATCCATTTGAAAGTTGAAATTATCTGCAATTTTTTTCTGAAATTTCAAAAAAGTTAGTTGCTTGCATCTGTTAAATTGATGAGCAAAAAAGATGCTTTCACTAATTCCAAGATTTATAAAGGCTCTGTCACCTA